AGCTGAAGAGCTCAGTGAGGGCAGCTCTGTCACCAGTGAGGCTCAGGGATGCATGTCCCTGAGGACACTGGCACCGTGGTCACCATCCTGCTGAGAGCTGTGCCTGGTGCTGAGGGTAATGAAGGCCTCACTTCTAAGACAAACCCTTTGATTTGCCAAGAGCATGATTAGAGTTGAACTCTAGAATAATCTGGAGACATGCTAGGCTGGATAAAGTGAAGAAAGACTACACTGAGAGAATAGCAAGAATTCACTGGCCAGGCGGGGTCAATCCACCTGGGTCTGAGTCTGGGTTTTGAGGGCGCTCAGTTAAGGGGCTGAAAGGCTGTCCTTGTGTGGAGTAAGAGATGGGCAGTCTCTGCTGAGGTAGCCCCTAGAAGCCTGGGCCAGTGTGGGCATCACTCAATGAAGCAGACAGACCTGACTGCCCCTGGCAGGTGACAGACATTATTAGATAAGAGGACCAAGGAACAAACTTTTTGAGTACACAAGTTTTTGGGGACACTTCATACACAGGGGTCAGATGATTTGTTCATCTCCACTGTCTACTTGATGGGGTTTAAAATCACCATGGAAACGTCTATCAGGGAAACACGTGTCAATGTGGCATCCCCACCCCAAGGCTAGAGTCCCAGGATGACTGCAAAGGGGAAAAAGGCAGGCTGTGTTCTCCCTCATGCAGCCATTTGAAACTCCCCATGTGGCAGTCTATACCTCCCAGCTGTGAAATAAGCCCCCCTCCCTTAAGATGCTTTTGCCATAGTGATGTGAAAAGTAACTAACACAGGGATCTATGTGGCCATTTACTGGTGTGATTGTTTATGGGGAAGGGAAGGGGGCAATAACAATGTCGAGGACTAGTGGAGGAGCTCGAGTTGATATTAATAAAGCATGGTCATGGCCCAGCTGTTGGCAGTCTGCGAAAAGGACTTCTGAGCTGTCAGTCTGCAGCTCTGCCGATGAATGGCATCTCCCTGCAATAGCTGCTAGAGGCTGGCACCACTGCTGGCAAGCTAAAGGACTAGGTGGTGCTCCCTTTCTCCACTAGTGTTAGCAGTCTGACCCCTATAGATACACAGTGGACCCTGAAGAGAGACAGTAGACCACCTACCTCAGGCTTGTCCAGTGGTCACTGTGTGTGGTAGTTTGGATGTAACTGGCCCCATAATCTCATAGGGAGTGGCACTATTAGGTGTGCCTTTGTTGGAGTGGGTGTGGCCTTGTTAGAGGAAGAGTGTCACTGTGGGGCAGGCCTTGAGGTTTTCTATTTTCAGGATACTGCCCAGTGTCTCAGTTGACTTCCTGTTACTTCCAAGGTATAGGACTCTCAGCTACCTCTCCAGCACATCTGCCTGCATGCTCCCCATCATGACAATGGACTGAACCTCTAAAACTGTAAGCGGGTCACCCCAATTAAATGTTTTCCTTATAAGGATTGCTGTGGTCATACTGTCTCTTCACAGCAATTAATTACTATGACACCATGCTTAATGGCTGTGCACATGTGAGATCATTTATAGTGCAGATTAATACAGATTCTTATTAACGTGAGTCTCTAGGATGCCACAGGAGAGGTTTTTGGGGTGTCATTTGGCAAATGTTGTCCTTTCCCCTCCAATTAGAAAACAGGTTTGGTTGTACCTCACACTCGGGACAATTGTTACTCGTTTGTGGTTTTGCTGTGGTTGTGTTCACTCTCTCTGCTTCTTTCTTGTTCAAAGGCCAGGACCCTCTGGAATGGGTCCCCGTTATCTCTGATTCACAAATGATATCACAGTGAGGCAATGGTAGGAGTGCCGTGTATAAAACCCATTTATTTCATAGGTATGCGGGGCCCATGGCAGTGCAAACACTGGCTACTTCAACAAAGGTTTTGAGGGATCCAGTAGTTAGGAGTATCCGGGGATAACCCCTTCCAAGGAAGTTAAAGAATACTGCAATAAAGAATACATACTGCCAGGCAGCCTTTTCGGAGGAATGGAGATAACATGTTGCTTCTGGGTGGCATGAAAGGCTGTAGTTGTGAGGAAGAAGAGCTCAGCTGGAGTTTCAGGCTGTGAGGCAAGCAACCCTGCCATTTGCCAGACTAGATGAACTTGTGGCAAACCTTGTGCAAAAATTGCCATATAGGACTTGGGACTATATAGGACGTTCAGGCCACCCCAGGCAGAGGTTTGCACACTGGTGAAGCTACCACTCACTCCTGAGTGGGCTTCCATTGGGTTCACAACAGCATAAAGAAAGGCAGGCTTGCCAGTTTATCAGACCAGAGGATGGGTCCACCTGGGAGGAGCCTGGGCAGGGCCAGAGGGAACTAGCAAGCTTAATGAGGTGACCAGAGCCTGTTCTCTTGCCTGCACATGTCGCCATTTAGAGTCAGTCCTGTGTGACTGGCTCAAAGATGAAAAAGCCAGAGTTTGGTTTATGGATAGGATGGCTTGCTTAATGGGACCAAGTGTAAAGATGGACAGTGGCCCCCTGACTGTGAGATAAAAGGCAGGGAGGGCTGGTTAAGTGGTTCAGCATGTAAAGGGATCTGCCACCAAGCCTGATGACCCGAGTTCCATTCCCAGAACTTACACCATGGAAGGTGAGACCCAGCTCCTACAGGATTGTCCTCTGACCTCAGCACACACTGGCTCATGCAACCCTCCCCACCCCCAAATAAATAAGTAAATAAATGTGAACAAACACTTAAGGCAGGGGAAAACCTCACCTGTAAGCAGAGCTGTGAGTAGTGCTTGGCTGTCTGTTCTGTGTATAAGATATAAACAGTGCTCCAAGGCAGTGAGCTTACACACATACATGTTCCTGGGGAGGGGCCAAAAGCTTGGACATTTGGTCAGACGCTTGAGAGTGGAGGATTGTGATTGAGAGGTGAGCTGGGATGGGGCAGAGGCATGTGGCTGGACAACAATGTGGTGGGCAGGCATGTTTATACCACATGCTGATGGTCAGGGAAAGCACCCAATATAGAACAGGCATCTAATAAGCAAGTGGGGATGCTTTGTACAACCCACATTGACAGTCCTTGTCACTGCACAGGACTCCTACATACCAATGAAAACAGATGTACATCTCCCTTGAATGCCTGGAATGGTAACAAGATAGTCTCCCCATGGGCCAAGGCAACAGTGTCAAGGTCAGTTTCATTGGGCATGCAGTAGTCCCTCTTCTTGTCTTCTGGTCTTCAGACATTAGCAATTAGCAACTGTAATTGACTTGGCAGCACCCTGTAAGGATGTAATGTCTCCTGGTCTAGTGCTACCCTGGGTGGATCCTGTATCTTTGGACTTGGCATTCAGTAGGTCTCTAGAACTTGGTCATGAGGTGGCTGACCAAGTTGGACTCTGCAGTCAGGGGAAGCGACCTATGCTCAGAATAGGCCAGTATCCCTGGAAGATGACCAAAGACCACATCTTCATTGTGGCTTTTTGTCTGTCTGCATGCCCTCTCATTGGTGCTCCCTTCTCCCAGGATGGAGAAAGCATGCCTGCTACTCCTGGGATGCTCCTTGGACCAGCAGTGAAGCGTCACCTTGAAGTGAGTTAGAAATGGCAGATTAAATCCCACCCCACACCTATTTGGTCAGAATATTTCTTTGCTTTGGTGTCAGGGATGGGAACGAGGGTGTGGTGCATGCTAAGCACATGCTACCAGGCTGCACCCCTGATCTCTGGAATCTTCATTTTAACAAGATGATTAGTGTATTTTCTTTTCAGTTGCTCTTTAAACTTCAGTTTGGAATGTAAGCCCTTGCCAAAGTAGAGTTTGGAAGCAACATAACAGATCAAACCCAGGGGCTCCTCCACTCTACTAGTAAGCACACCCTTTTGGCCTGTTGAATCCTTTATGTCACAGCTCAAACAAAGCCCAGCAGAATTAGGGGACTGATTCAGGGTCACACAGTGAATTAAAAGAGAGCAAGTCAATGTCTTGCTCCCAGCCCTCCCTGATAAGCGTTTTGCTCTGAGCAGGCTATTGGCTCTACTGCATCATCCAGTACACGAACAGTGGGGACAGGGCTCTGTGCAAGTATGCGGTTCAATACACAGGGCTGTGCAAACAGATAGTACATGGCTGCTAAAACGCTTGGAATGTTCTAGGTGACAGGAGGGTCTTGTTGTCTATATTGAGCCCCTTTCAATCACATCTGTGTTCATGCAGGGTAGACCCTCTAGTAGCTTCAGGACTGGGGCTCATCACCAGAAAGCAGCAACAGGAAGAGATAAAGTGGCAATTTCCAGTCTCTGCTCAGGGGTGGTCAGGGAGTGGAGGTGGTGGTGAGTAGGGACTTGGCCACAATGGAACCTATGTTAGCAAGACCTAATGGCTGCATCTTCCAGAGCCACAGCTAGGGACTTGCCATAGCCTTGGCTTGTCTGTCCTTCCCCTTTATGTTTGACTGCAGCTATGGAGTAGTATCTCAATACTATGAGCATTGAACCGGCTCAGCCCCTGGCTCCAGTTTCCCTCCTGAATTTCAGGGGCACAGTAGGGCATTGTGGCATGTCCTGAGGCCCATTGGCTGGGTCACATGTACCTGGAGGCTCAAGGAGGGACTAGCACTGTTTTGGACAGACCTCTGAAGCCCTTGGAGCACTCTGGCCTGCTGAAGGTTAAGATAAAGATCAGTATTCTTTTTGGCAGTAAACTCCAGAACTGAAACCAATTGCTCAGCCCAGAAAAGTCTATGACTCAATAGGATTTCAATGTCTTCTGCCTATGATCTTTATCATCTGCCATACACCACAGGTAGTAAACTCTGGTCCAGTTTACTGGGGAAGCAGAGGACGGCTGAGACTTTCCCTTAACTGCCACAGACTGTGTTTAGGACCCATATGCTTGTGGCTGCAGTCCAGCATCTCTGTTGCTTCCAAGGTCCAAATGGGCCACGATTCAGATGGAACCTGAGTACTAGACAGTGCAGAATGAACTTGACTTTACAGTACACAAGACACTTTTTTCTTTTTTTTAAGAAATAAATTTAATTCCGGTGGTTAGTGGACTCAAGGCTTGTAATGCCTTCATGAAAGTTAAAAGAATCCAGTTATAAAAGCAGTAGTGGGCACAGTCTCAAAGAGCTAAAGTACAATGGGCTCCATAGTTTACAAAGTACAAAAAATTATTTCATATACAAAGAAAAATACAAATAATGTGCAAAACCGTTTTCACAGGTGGCAAATTTATAAAATGAATATGATAAAAAATTCCTTCATTTTTATTTCCCAATTTCTTATATATTAATACAACCCTACTTTCTAGTGTGTTGATACTTTTTAATTTGAAAATCTGATTTATTTTTAATCTACAAAGTAGTTTTTATTCTTTAAAAAGGGAACAATCTTTTATTACTAAAATCTTACGAATCAGTTTAGTTATTTTTATATTAAATTATAAGCAGGCTATCTGAAAAATCAGGGTATAGAAATCATATATACATATTTTGAAATATTAGTTTGGTATTTAACATATTAACATTTCAAAACAAACACATCAATTAAGCCACCAGGGGCCCAGCGGCTGCAGCAGCTGCTCAGGTTCGTGGAGGTGAACAGTGCCCTTGAGCTTTAGGCTAAGGAAACAAGGCTATTGTAATGGAGTGTAAGAGCAGTTCTTACTTCTCAGGAGCAGTGCTGTCTGGTTATCTGGCTTTGTCCCAGGCGCATGCTGGCAAGCAGCTGGCATCAGTTTCCTACTTGCTTCTTGGTTAAAAGCTCAATGCCAGTGTTTCGTGGGGTCTCACATTCTGCCCCTGCTTGCTGTTACTTCAAAGAAAGCTGTCAAGGAGCAGGAGCGGGCACGGGACACAGGCACCATGTCCTCAGAGGCCAGTGGTTAGAAGCAGCTATTGTGTCACTGTTGCTTTTCCCATGAGAATCCTGTGCACTCCCTTTGCCTGCCAATGAGTAATGAGGTCTCTTGCTGTGACGCTCCATGGTAGCACCAAGAACCAAGCATCTCAAAGGTCAGGCATAAAAGTAGGTGTTACATATGGGAAATATATACAGAACATATGATGACCTTTAGAGGGTATGGATTTTTGTTGTCAAAGTTCTTGAAGGAAATTATGGCCTTGGAGAACAAAAAGAACCTTCATGAAGGCTCAGGTCGTAGCTACCTTGCCTAGGAGATGATGGCAGCAGGTTTGGGAACTTTCTCTGATCTCCAACTGCTTAAATCCTGTTGGAATGATGCCATAAGGGGACCTGGGCTCCTACCCAGACCAGTGTGCCAGGGCCAGAATAAGCAGAACCTCAGGCCTTGGGATGACCATCACCTGCTCCTGTCTGGCAGATTGAGTTCCTCTACCCATGTGCTTGGCCAATCATGGGCATCAGGCATCAGAGATGCAGCTCTGGATCCTGTCCATCCATTGCTGGGCACTCTGTCCATCCTGGGCACAGAAGTTATACACACGCTTGCTGGTCTTAAGCTATAGAACCAAATGACAGAGGAGCAGATATAAAGCAAGATGTTTATGGCTTTGGGTGAGTGACAAACTAGTCCCATCCAGACAGACATAACTGCCTGTTCTAACATCGTCTGTCACCTTGAGGTGGGCTGTGGGGCATTCTAAGGGCCATGCAAAAACAGATGGCTATCTAGTCCCTGACTGACTAATCCTGAGGATAAAGCCAGGGTCACCAAGTGGGAGTCACATTCTCCATCCTGTATAAACTATGATGCTATCTCACCATTCTTGCTTTGGTGCTGTGTATGAGAGGCCAGAGGCACTAGCTGGTCCTGAGCAACCGCCCCCCTTCCTCAAAGGCAACTGTAGGAAGATGTCAGCTGTCCTTGTGCTCTACTCTGCCTGACTTCCTCTCCAAGGTGACCAAGGGCAGTGACAGTGCTGTAGTAAGGCTGAGGAGGGGGTAGAGGAAGTCATGGGGTTAGTCTGCCACTCACTCAAAGCCATAAAACATCCATGTCTAGTGACTACTAACTCTAACGTTGGGAGTCGATAAGAGATGTGCAAGGGGACAGGGAAGGTGACTTACATCAAAGAAAGCCTTGTCACTTGTATACTTTGGAGCTCCTATGCTGGGGCCAGCAGGGAGAACCATTTCTACTTCAGCCAGATCAATGTGTCCTTTACAGCTTGTGTCTTCCCCTGAATCATAGTATCGCAGCTAGGACCAAAAATAAGACAGATGAAATACAGAAATGAGCAATGACTTGGCTTTCCAAACTGTATCTGATCACTTTCCTCTGCACTTTGTTTTTTTAGTGCTAACTCTTCATGGACTAATACCCTAGCATTAACAACGCGGCTGCCTCTTTCTTGCACACACCTTTACTCCCAGCACTTGGGAGGCAGAGGCAGGAGGCTCTCTGTGAGTTCAAGGCCAGCCTGGTCTACAGAGTGAGTTTCAGAATAGCCAGGGCTACACACAGAGAAACTCTTTTGAAAAAACAAACAAAACAAAAAACAAATTTCTAGACACCAATAAATAACCTACCTGAAAATGACCAAAGGATTGTAATGGGCAATCACAGGAGAAACATCATCTAGCTGCAAACATCCAGAGTCCACCTTAGTCTAAGAAACACTACAGTGGCTGGCAATGTCCAGCAAGACAGTAAGACTCTTTCCTATATGTTGTTACTGGGAACAACACTTGTTAGAAAAAAAAAAACTTAGTAGTGATGTTGGCTAAGATGAGTATGTTTGTGTGTGAACCATCTCTCCTACCTCAGCTTTACCACAGGGTCAGGAAATGCTGTGGCCCCCATTGGTGCGGTACTTGTCAGCACAGCACTGAACACTGGCTCTCTTAGTGACAGTATGGCCAGGAGACAGACAGAGGACAAGGAAGGCTTTGAAATGAACAGCAAGCTGGCAAGTGGCACATATGCAGTATGAAATGGTACCAAAGGACATCACAGACAGCTCCTAGCTGCCAGCTCTGGGGCTGTTAAGAGCTTTATGAGATGTTTAAATTTGGCACAATAACCATGTATTATTTTGGAATAAGAAGGAATGAAGTATTTTAAAAGGTAGAGAGCTTGCTGGTGAAAGCCTTCTTGGCCTAGCCTGGCTCCCAGGGTGCACAGCAGGACTGTGATTGACATTTCCATCTCTGTGGCTCTTGACTTACCCCTACCCCCAGGCATGGTATGAGCAAGAAAACCAGAAGATTGGTAAGAATACAAATATAATTTGATATAATTTTAAATTATAGCAAAATCATGATTTTTCCTATGTTATATTTAGTGGTTTAATGGAACTTTTCTACCCAGTGAGGATTCTATGATTTCAGGGACACTGCTATATTAAAGTGCAGATCTACAAAGGGCTTCTATTTGTATATTTGCAAATCTCAATATTCTTAAGGGTCAACAAACAAAATACCAATAAAGCCCTTGAATCAGAGGAAAAGGTGACCCCAGACCAGCCTTGTTCTGGAGGGTTCCTCTTGATACTGTCCTACAGGAGTGCTGTTAGGGCACAGAGGAGAGCAGCAGTTCTCAACCTGTGAGTTGTGACCTCTTGGGGTCAAATGTCAGATGTTTACAATCCATAACAGTAGCAAAATTACAGACATGATGTAGCAATGCAATAATGTATGGTTGGGGTCATCACAACTTGAGACACTGTGTTAAAGGGTCGCAACATTAGGAAGGTTGAGAACCACTGCTTTAGGTCCTTCCCGATAGTCTCTGTATTCTGACCACAGCAAGTCAGCCTGAAACAGGCTTCATTTCTCTTGCAAATGAAGAGTGCTGTGGGGCAGAAGGTTTGGGTAAAAGTCCCTTGAAATTACAGTAGCAAAGAGATGAAGTCTAACCTGTAGCAGCTAGGACAAAGAGTTCTTAGTGAGGTCTAATCTAGACAGCTGTAGGTCCCAAGACTGGTTGGGCACATTCCCTCCCAATGCTCCCATCTCTGAAGAACAGCTAGCTGTTCCTTGCTAAATAACCAGTACTATGAGGTGGGGCGCAATAATTGTTGGAAAAGTCCATCATAACTGGATGGTTTCTGCAGCAACGACAGACAGCTGTATACCCTGGGAGGGAGGGGGACACACATCTGCATACAGCGGGGCTAAAGCTCCCAGATGCTTCCAGATCTGGCTGTTAAAGAAGAGACGTTTATGCATTAAAGAGACGTTTACACATTAAGAATTCCAGTGCCCTGGGCATGCTGGGCTCTGGATAGAGCCTGCTTTAAAATCTCTTTTCAACAGTTAGTGCCAGGGTGCAGGGACATTTTAGGCCTTAGAAGAGGTACCTTCTGCAAAGGTGAAGCCGTAGGTGAGCATGCTGTGTATGAGAAACACTAAACAGGTCTCTCTCACCTGATGTTTTGTTACATCTAAAACAAACCAGCGGGGTTTCCAGCCCTTCAGCAGTGCTCCTCTTTTGTACAGTGTCCCTTCAAAGGATCTACAAGAAAGGGCGACAGGACAGTTACCTGACTTCATTTGTTTGTCAAGTTTCTGTCTCCCTAATGAGAGCCCTCCCCGAGAGTTTTGTCTCTAGCCCATTGGGGAGAGACTGACTCCTTCCTTCTGTTGGGACCACCACACTCCCCTGGCTAGGAATTCTTTGTTTCCTTGTTTTCTGCTATGCTAGGAATGCTGTAACACAGAGGGAAAACAGAGCTGGAAACAGAAGTCTTAAAATTCTGTGAGACACTAGCATGTCCTTGGCATCCCTTGTTTATGTGAGGAAATTCCTTTTCTCTCAGCCAGGATGAGTGGGATTTCTGGTGTGCCGCTGAAAAAGTATTGTCTGACACACATTCTCTCAAATAGTGATTTCCCCACCTCCAGAACCATCTAAACAAAGCATTTAAGAAAACCAAAAATCAAAAACCCACAAATGAAAGCAAACCCATTTCAAGTCTGGCAAGGCTGTTTGCACAGGGCTTCCTTAGGCTAACATTAGGGCCCAGCAATATCACCTGTTCTCATCATTCTTGGATATGTACTGGCTGTAAAGCGTGGCTGCTCTGTGCTCTACACCATTGGATGGGGCAATGGTGGCATTCTGGTCCTCGCCAGTGCTGCGGTCCAGTGGGTGGAGCACAGGTCTCTTCTGATACGAAGGCACGTTGGTGGACACAAGTCCTGGGGACCCTGATGAGTGTCTCTGGGACTGAAAATGACAAAAATAAGAGCTAGGAAGTTACCCAGAAGCTAGGGTGAAAACTGACATTATTTGGGGACTGGTTAAAAAAACAAACAACTTTTCAAATGGTGTTCTAGACAGCAACCAAAATGATGCAAATGAATGGCATGCATGCCAACAAGAAGGTAGGTTTTAAAATATCACACAATAAATTTCTTATTTCTAGGTTATATACTATAGGTAATTTTCATCTCTTGGTAACCTTCTGTGTACTGTTATTTTAAAAATACACATCCTACTTTCATAATTAGAAAAAAAAATCTAGAAGCCATTTTATTTTCTGGGGTAAAAGGCCACAGGATGGTGATGCTCTCTGGCTGAGAGGCAACAGTTACTGAACAGCCTTGTGAATCTAAGATAGAGCCCGAGGCCCTTTTATCAAGGCCGCCACCTCAGGCCACTGGTCTTGTGTCTTTTTCCTGAAGAGCTCTTCAAAACACTCATGCATCCTTACTTCCTTGTGCTGGGCTGGGGGTCAGATTGCTGTGGGTTTGAGTGGTGGCCCTGCCACTGTAGCTGCATTTGCATTCCTCCTGTGCATGAGGTACAAACCTTGCTCACTGTGAACTGCATTGGGCTCAGTCTCTTCGACATATCATGTGCTTGATACATGTTTCTAATATCAGGGATAGGAAATCGGGTATGAGAAACAGGAAGCAATAGAAAAGGAAGTTTGGGAAACAGAAAGTAGCATATGTTGTCATTTTAGAGTATTTCTCTTTGCTTGTTTCTCTGGAGCAAACATGAACTTGGCATTCCCTGTCCTTTGTGGTAGCTCAGCAGAGACCACAGTGGCCCCGAGATAGAGAACCCAGTAATTTCTTCTGGACTCGGTGCCTGAAACATGTGTGCATTATGTCACTGTGGGGAGTGAGACATTCAGAAAGCATTTGGTCATCTGGAACGTTCTGCCCTGAACCCCCAGGGCATGACCCCTCTCTATCATTTTCTCTGGGCTGTGGGCTCCATTTTGATCTAACACCCTCCAAAGCTTAGGGGGCTCTGCCAACTCACATGGTCTGTTCTTGGCTCATCCTTCAGGTCCATGGTTACTTTTTCCCATAGCTGGTGCCATTTTTCAGGAGTTTGGTTCAATTTATGCTCCAATTTTTCAATTTCCTGCAAAGAAAATAAAAGGACAGTTTGACAGACGAATATTTTATGGAAGACCAGGATGTGTCTAGAGACAGTTTCCTCTGTACTGGGCCCAGATGAGCAGCATGGCTAGTGTATAGCTGGATTTAATGATTTATTAGGACTCGGCAGGGCTTTTGAACAGATTGATTTTAATAATAATACATGGAGTGTGTGTCTCAAACACCTTCTTCACTCTTGGACAGCCTGTTGGAAATCTGATGACCAAAGCTAAAGGCTGACTGTGGGCCTATGTCCCAACCCTAATGGCTGAGGCTGTTAAGTCTTTCTTGACAGTGCTCTCATCTCTGATGACTCAACCCAGATGTGCAAAGAATTAACCAAGAGATAGATGCTCATGCAGATGCTTTCACTCTGACAGGGTCTGAGACAGCCACCACTGCAGCATCTTCTTACATCTGCAGTTGAAGACAGAAGGACTCTTCATGAACTGTCTGACTCACATCAAACACAAAGCTGTCTGGGGGTGGCTACTGCCACAACGGCTTCATTCCCGAATATGCCTTGCAGAAGGTGTCCCATGGGGCCATCAGCTACCTGTATTTCTAACAAAGGGAATAAAGCACCCACAAAAGCCACTGCCTAGATCTAATTCCAACAGCCTAGACAGGTAATGTTGCTGGGAAGTAGCCAGAAGGGTAATTGCTGTTTTCTTGGCTGCTTCCTAGTAGCACCACAAAGTCACTTTTATGGGTACCTTTGCCAACAGGTAAGTGTGGTGCCCACTGTTGCACAGAACCAAGGATGGATTTTGTGGTGATATTTTGTTTATGATCTAACAAATAAAGCTTGCCTGAAGATAGAGTGAAAAGTTGGACACACTAATTAGCCATAGGGGCCAGGCAATTGTGGTGCACACCTTTAATCCCAGCACTCAGGAGAGAGATGCAGACAGATCTCTGTTAGTTCAAGGTCATCCTGAGCTACATGAAATTGATTCAGACTATTATTATTATTTAGTGTTTCTAGACAGGGTTTCTCTGTGTAACAGCCCTACCTGTCCTAGAACTACCTCTGTAGACCAGGCTGGCCTTAAACTCAGAGATCTGCCTGTCTCTGCCTCTTGAGTGCCCCACCACTGCCTGGTCAGGGTTTTTATTATTAATTCCCACTAGAATTTGTGCTACAGAGTCTTCAGATTCATAGTGTTAATGATGACACAGGCTAGAGTAAGGGTTACAAATTTAAATATTCGAGCCTAGAAACAGTGTCAGAGTCTTGAAGCAGTGTCAGTGAGAGGCCCGAATCCCAGCCTGGAAGCAGCATTGGAGGAAGGCCTGAGATTCAGGCCCGGAGCAGCATCAAGGGAGCCATAAGCCTCAGAACTGGGAGCAGTGTTAGAGGGAGGCCCCAGCCTCAGCCCCAGGAGTGAGGAGTGATCATCAGGTGAAGCAACAACAGCGCTTTCCAGCAGTAGCTTCCAGAAACTATTGCAGAATCCATTCTTCTGCTGCATACAATAAACACACCTCAAACTCACAGAGAACATTACCTCAGAGTGAAGGGTTGAGAAAAAATTTCCAATCACATGAACCTAAGAAACAAGCTGCTGTAGCTATCCTAATAGCTAACAAAATAGACTTCTAAAAGGATAAAGAAAGGCATTTCATATTTATCACAGGAAAAATCCATCAGGAAATCTCAATTCTGAACATCTATGCTCCAAACACAAGGGCTCCTGCATTTGTAAAAAGAACATTACTAAAGCTAAAAAGCACAAATCAAGCCCCCTACACACTAAGAGTGGGAAACTTTAACACCTCACTCTCACCACTGGACAGACCTGCCAGACAGAAGCTTAACAGAGAAATAAGGGAACTAACAGAGGTTATGACTCAAATGGACTTAACAGACATTTATAGAACATGCCACCCAAACATGAAAAAATATACTTTCTTTCAGAACCTCATGGAACCTTCTCAAAAACAGATCACATACTCGGTAACAAAACAAACCTCAAAGATACAAAAAAAAAAAAAAAAAAAAAAAAAAAAGCCCACAAACACATGGAAATTGAACAATGATCAACTGAATGACCATTGGATCAAGAAAGAAATAAATAAAAAACTGCTAAAATTTAATGAAAATGATCTGACAACATACCCACACTTAAGGGACACAATGAAAGCAGGCTGAGAGCAGTAATGCCTACATAAAGAAGCTGGAAAAATCCCACACTAGTGAATTAACACAACTGAAAGCATAGAACAAAAAGAAGCAAACTCACCCAGGCATCTACCCAAAGGAGGCACACTCACACCACAAGGACATTTGCTCCACTATGTTCATAGAAACATTTGTAATAGCCAGATTTTGGAAACAGCCTAGAAGCCCCTCAACTGAAGAATGGATAAAGAAAACATGGTTTATTTACACAATGAAGTATTACTCACAGGCAAATGGACAGAACTAGAAACAAACCAAGTAAGGTAACCCAAAACAGAAAGACAAATAGAGCATGTACTCACTTATAAGTGGATACCAGACATAAAGCAAAAAGATATAAAGCCTACAATCCATCAACCCAGAGAAGCTTGAACCCTCTTCTAGAAACAGATGGGAGCAGATGCAGAGATCCATAACTAACCAATGGGCCAAGCTCCTGGAGTACAATCGAAGTGAGGGAGGAGTGATCATATGAACAAAGGAGTCAAGACCATGATGGGGAGACCCATAAAATCATCTGACTCAGGTCTGACAAATGGGGAACCTGCATAAGACCGAACTAGACTCCCTTTATATAGGTGACAATGGTGTGACTGGGACAATATATGAGGTCACTGGCAGGGGGTCCAAGACCTAACTCTAATGCACAAACTGTCTTAGTGGAACCTATTCTATATGGAGAGATAACCTTGCCCAGCCTAGACACATGGGTGTGGGGGTGGAGAGGTGCCTTGGTCCTGCCTCAACTAGATGGGACAGACTTAGTATACTTCCTAGGGGAGGCCTTGCCCTCTCTGAGGAGCAGATGGGAAGGGGAAGTGGAGGGAGTGGAAGGAAAGGAGGGAGTGGGAACTGGGATTGGGATGTAAAAAGATAAATTAGTAATAATAAAAAAAAAACCAAGAAAATAAATGTAAGTATGCAGGCCTGTCTATGCTCTCCTCTTGGGGGTCCTAAGTGCCTGTATGTATGTTTATACATTGCTGACTTACACTGAAAAGTCTGGTGAGGGCATCTGGCTGGCTGCAGCTTATGTCATCGTAGCATGGCCACACTGTTCTCCTTTGAGTCTGGGGTCCAGCTCCTCCAGCTATATCTGACTCCTCGGAGGGAATATGCTTGGGGGTCAGCATCATCCAGTCATATGAAGGACCTGCAGACAGAGTCTCCTCTGTGTAGTAATCCCACTTCTTGAGGCTGGAGACATTAACATTAGGCTTCAGGGCCTGTTTAAAGAAAATGCTGAAATGTAGTTTTATCTCAACCCTGAAGTACTTGATACTTACATTTGCAGGATGCAGGGCAAATATATAAATTACTCTAAATATTTAAAACTTATGCGTCAAGAGAGAATGAAATAAAACATGTTTACCCTCCTTCCTCAACAAATATAACCTCCTAATGATTTGAAAGGTCAGGTTCAAATAAAGCATTCTTGATTCCTCACAATTCTATACTAGGAAGTAGTGGCCCAGGGGGAGATAGGTCCTCAGCTCATAGGTCTTTGTTTAGCCACCGCCTCCTCCCATGCCGACCTTGCAAATAAAATATCATAAAAGATGTTTTTGAGACAGTCTTGCTATGCAGTTCTGGTTGGCTTCAAACTTGCGATCCTCCTGCTTCTGTCAAGTGATGGGATTAGAGGTATATGCCACTCACACTGAGCCCAAGGAGTCATTTAAAAGATGAAATTATGGGTTGGAGAGAGGGTTTAGCTGTTAAGAGTACTTGGTGATCTTCCAGAAGATGTAGCCACTTCTGGTGGTCAAACAAGCCTGTTGCATGACTAACTAGGTCATGAAGATGCATATGACCAAGCTTTGCTGCCCCTTAACTATGCTGTCCTCTGGGCTGGGTTCCAATGTTGTGCTTCCCCTAAGACCCCTCCCTCAGGGTTACTAAATACTAAAGCATTTAAGTTTTTTGGCTATGGCATGGTATGGTGGCACCCCTTTAATCCTACATAGGCAAAGTTGCTTCGTTTTGATTATATGGACTAGCTCCTAGTATTTGCATCAAGTATTTAGTGAACAGTACCCCGTCCCACTACAACCCAAACCTATGTCATCTCAAACTTTTAAATATCTTTCATATGAAACCCTGTCAAATGTGTATGTATACTAAAATGAAGAGAAACTTTTATACAAAACATTCATAAAGTAAGACACAAATGACAGTTCTACCTCTATTTCCACTGGTGAATATAAGTAATTGAAGAAAATAGGACTCCGTTTGTGCATTTTGTCGATACACTCCCAAATACAAACTCCTTTCTTGGCATGCTTGTCACCTTTATCATCAAATAAAGTTCCTGTAATTAAAAAAAAAAATCCATCAGTATGGAAAGAAATTGAAATTTTGTCTAAAAGTATGAAACACACAGAAGAGGAAAAAGTGAAGTATTTATGTCTCTGAAAACAGCAACAAATGTACAGAAATATTAAAAGCTAACTGCCAATCAACAGAGCCAAGCAAGTCAAGCCTGTGGGAAATGTGGGATAGGGTCTTGGCAGGGTTGTCCTACTCATGTCCTGTTTCTGAATGTACAGCCACAAAAGAGACAATGTTGTTTCAAAAAGAGCTTGAGAAAGACACCACGCAACAGAGCTTGGGTGGAGGGGTTATTTATTGGGGGAAAGGGAGGAATGGAGAGGGGAGACAGGCCTCTGGGGACAGGAGTGGCAGAAGAGAGGGGAGGGGGAGAGAAGGGACAGAGAGAAATTGGAGGTGGGTAGGCCCTTTTAAAAGGGAACTAGTGAATAGGCACAGGCGGTCTTCTTGCAGCAGCTGAGAGCATCCTGTCAGAACTCCAAAGGCAGGCCAATACAAATGCTTAAATACTAACAGGCAGGCTATATATACATTTCTTAAGAGAAAATGGACTTATTAACTGATGCAGCTCAGCTGACAATGTGATTTTATGCTTCTTTTAAAAACTTGTTTATTATGAAGCAATTAAAAGCAAATTCTTGGTTAAAAGTTTACTTGTACTACAAATGATAGTCAAACTATGGAAGATGGAGTGTGTTGTCTCCTTGAGTGATTATATGAACTTAGATTCTGATATTCCCTGTCTCCTGCCCCCCACCCCCATTTTGGATGTAGTTCTGGCTATCCTGGAACTAGGTATGTAGACCAGGCTGGTCTTAAACTCAGATCTGACTGCTTCTGTCTCTGAGTGTTGGGATTAAAGGCATGTGCCACCATGTCTGGCTGTGTATTCTGTGCTCTTAATGGGGGGATATAAATACTCCAGGGTGAGGTAACGGCAATTCTACAAAGGCAGTGCTGCTCTGTGCTTTGTATGAAGTGATCCTGTTAAAAGTTAACTTTTTACCATAAGAGACCACCTCAGGCCCAAGGCCGTACAAAACCCTGTAACTCATGGGCCCCAAGGCAGACTGTTTCCTTCCTTCCTTTTCTCTTAACTGCAGGGTCCTCTCATTATAGCTTCACTAGGGAAGAAGCACCCTGGATGCCATGTGATAGACTTTAGACAGAAGAATGAGAGAGGGTATGAGAGGTAGCCCTCTGTTTCTCAGGACACATTCTTCCATCCTAGTGCTACCCAGTGACTGGAACCATGGACAATGGACTTCTCTTACACTATCCAAATGACTGTTTCAGAGTTACATGTACACACACAGAACTATTTAAATATAAACAAACATTTTAAAATATTTGCACCATCAGACAGTATCATCAAGTGCTATTAAGGTCCAATTCCAAAACAGTAATACTCTTCCAAGTCAGTGGGGAGTTTCTGATGAAACCCTTGACAGTTCTGACTGATGTCCGTCAGCAGTGGTTGACAGTCCTAGTCTCTAATTGTTGACCTTGGCAGGTGGAGGAGAGTTCCCACAGCTGTTGGTAACCAGTGCTTTACTGAGCAGGCTTCATAAATTGTGAGTGTGCCTAGCAGGGACAGATTCCAATTAGGCAACACAGACTGCCTGGCATATAAATGAAACCAGGCTAGATGGTGGGTACCTTAGGTCCGTCCACAGGGACGTTTGGATAGGCCCATAGTAATGACATTCTAGGTAGTTATGAAAAATGTGTAAGACCCAGGATGAAACTAGTTTTACCTTCACTCTGTCAATTCCTTTAATCTTTCTGTTGAATCTCCTTTAGGTCATAGACGGGACAGAAAGCCTTGACCAGTTACTTTTCAGATGGGGAACTGAGGCTGAGGGATGAAGCTGTTCACCCACTGTCATATTTTCTGACATAGCTGGATGGACCAGTGGAGCATTCAACCCTGGCAACACAGTACAATCACTGGGGAGTTTAAGGAGCTCTGTTCTGATTCAGCTGGCTGGAGGTGCTGCCTTGGAGTCCCCAGTTAATTCTAGTCAAGTCTGAGCAGTGCCACACCAGATTCTGTTGTTTCTCTGACTAGAGTTGCCATCTGGCACAGCAGGAACCTTGGGTTTTGGCCATATCCACTGGAGTAAAGGTAATTAGCTGAAGACCAGATACAGGCAGCTGTCACCAGCTCTAATTACCTTCCCACCATATGCTGCTTAAGATACCGTTTCTGACTGTGATGAGGTATGACAAAGGTCTGAAGAACAAACAGGATGGAAATTCAACAACATGCTCTGTAAGTAGTACTTCCTAATTTCAGACTTTTTTCTTCTCAAGACAGGGTTTCTCTGTGTAGCTTTGGAGCCTGTTCTGGAACTCACTCTGTAGACCAGGCTGGCCTCAAGCTCACAGAGATCCTCCTGCCTCTGCCTCCCAAGTACTGGGATCAAAGGAGTGTGCCATCACTGCCTTGGCTCCTGATTTTAGATTTTAAACAGAGATTGCTGGTAAAGTTTTAGTTGTGAAGGTTCCTCTTTCTAAATACTCGGTGACATATGATGTACCGAGAATACCAACTTTGTTACTTTAATTCCCCACCTCCTGAATGCTAGAAGTACAGATGCATAGTATTGCGGTAAATAAGGATCAGGATAAACAAATAGGCCGAATAGATGTTTATTCAGGGAGAAATAACTTACAACCTAGACAGATGAACACCAGGAAATTCAACCCGATCCTCTCCTGTCGGAGTCACACCAGAAAGAAAGAGCGCCTTCCTGGCCCCCTCCGACCTCCTTCCTCAGGTCACCTCCGCCCATCGCTCCACCCCCAATGGGCGTGGTCAGTGCTACAGAAGGACTACCTCACTACAGCATAGCACCATGCTCAGTTTACATGATATTGGTAATGGCATCCAGGGCTCTATGCACACTAGGTAGGAACTCTTCTAACCAAGCCACCTGGGACAAGTGCTGACTTTTTTTTGACTTGTCCTAACATTTTGCCAGGTATATTTCCCCGTTTTTCTAACGAAAGCCCTTTGGGAAATGTTTTCACAGTTTTTCAGAATCTATTTTTTTTTTCAAACATTGTAACTATTAAAAGCTGTAATAATGACAGTGATGTCTACAATTCCTCAAGTGCTTATTATACGCTAGCAACTGTGCTGAGAAACTGCCCACTGGTTCCTCCTGTGGTCACTGTCCCCACATTAGTAAGATGAGGAGGCCTAGGCTCAGAGAGTCTTAACGCCCCCCCCCCCCAAAAGGCACAGCTGGTAACTAGTGGTGCTAGAATTTAATTTTGCATGAACTGCCACTATGGACAGGTCCCTTCCTGTCAGTGTGGACGTGAATGGAAATACTATAAATGAAACATGTTTCCTACACAGTGGTAGTGCCTGGAGGTGTCAAACAGTGAGCATTTTTAACTTTACAAAGATAGGACAAGATTGAACACTTGGTGTAACTAATGGCTGAGAGAGAGTACATTGCCCCAGAACTGGGCAGTTACTCAGATCATTCTACATTCAAATCTTATTTGGGGTCAGTTATATCATTTAAGTTTTCACTGAAAACATGCAAAACTAACAAAAAAAATTGAACAGAGGCATATAAATACATACCATGCTCTAATCTTTCATAGTCTGAATCCAGAAGAAATGTTTTAAAGCGGTTAGACACATAATGGAAAGCCAAGAACTTTAGGTAATAGAGATTGAATTCAAACTCAGTTGGATACTGCTTGTGGACCTGAAACACACAAACAAAGAGTAAGAGTCTAAACAGAAAAGTAAAAGCCAGCCTAGAGAATGCTTACCTGAAATGTGACAGAGACTTCTGCCATTCATCTGACAAATGCTTAAACCTCTGTTAATCCCACCAGTTGAGAAGACAACTACCACAATTAAAAAGATCTGTATACAGCATTCTGTCTGCATGTATGCCTGCAGGCCAGAAGAGGGTACCAGATTTCACTACAGATGGTTGTGAGGTATTGTGTGATTGCTGCGAACTGAACTCAGAACCTCTGAAGAGCAAGCAGCCAGTGCCCTTAACCTCTGAGCCATCTCTCAAGCCCTTAAAGGCAAATTTGAAACAAGCTTTAATTAAATACTGGCCAGGTCCATACCCAGATTCCCAGGAAATGTGGACAAGTCACATTTTTCAGAAATTTAAAAAGACAACCCTACAAGGCCACCATATTTCCCATCAGGTCCAATGTTGGCCAAGCATACATCCTCATACATCCTGATGTATTTCCTGTCTATGTATATAAGCAAATGTGAGTTGCCAGGTTTCAGCCCCAAAATGTAAAGGTGTCCTGAATTTTCAGGAAGCCAGGCTATCTAGAGCTGTAATAGGACAGCTCAGCCCGGTAGAGAAAGGTGTCCTGACTTATTGGGAAGCAAGGATACCTGAGGCTGAGGTGCAGTGGGGGATGGCAAGCCTACTCTTCTCCAGAGAGCTATTACAGTAGAGCTCTGCTTTGTTTCCCTAATGTAACGCCCTAGCAGATTTAAATTCCTCAGTCTTTCTTTGGCTACAGTCTGCTAAAAGGGAAGGAAGCCTTGGGAGAAATGTAGCAATCTCCTGGGGCGGGAGGGAGTTGTTAATTTTCTGCTACAGACTTGGTCAGCCCAAGAGAACGAACGTTTCTTCTGTTCTTCTATTTTGTACTGGGGAATGAAGATCTCCACCCAAGACTCTTTTGAGAAAGATTTATCCGGGAAGGAGGAGTCCAGCAGAGTGGCTGCCTCTGTCACGTGGTAAGGGACAGCCATCTAGGGAATGCACAGACTGGCTTATATAGGGCTTCTTGTGGGTAGAGGTTTCCCAGGGACAAGATTTTCTGCTCACTTTACTTTAGTGGGTCAGGCAGAGATGGCTCCCATTTCGGGGTAAATTGTGTTTCTTTCACTGGTCCTTTTTAGCCTTTTGACTCTAATTTTAGGGCCAGGGCATATTTCTTTCACTGGCTCTAATTCTAGGGACAAAGTGCGTTTCTTCGGTACTAGTTTCAAAGTCAGGGTGTTTTTCTTTTGTTCTGGGTCCAGGGATAAAGTGTTCGTTCCTTTCATTGGCTCAGGTTTCAAATCCTGGGTATATTTCTTTCACTGGCTCTGGGTTCAAAGTCAAGGTGCTCAGGAGTTGGTTGTTTTTATGTTTCAGTTGGTAGGAGCAGAGTTGGCTCCAGTGTCACTTGGCCAAAGTGGGTTTCTTTGGTTGGATCTTTTACCCTATAATGTACCTCCCACCAAACACATCCAATGCAGTTGATCCAATTTTGATTAGGGGAGTGAAAAACAAGTGATTTGTTATTTCTCATAGACAATAGCCTCCAGCATTTCAGGAACTATCTGTTCTTAGACAAGTGGCTTGTAGAACAGAGGTATTTTTGCTTCATGGATCTCTTAGGCACAGTAATTAAAACTTAGTAACTTTGGCTCTCACACCTCCACCACTAACAGAGATGGGAAGGGGCAGATTTTCTGAGCATCTACTGTACATGACACGAGATTAGGGCATTTTATTTAATTTCTACAATACTACAAGACAGACCTTATTACTCTCAGTTTACATGTGATGAGGCTTAGGTCAGCAACATCATTCAACAGTAACTTTTAGGCCCTAATCTGAATACTGCATTGTTTGGCTCCATTCACAACATTATATTGTACAGAAAATGACATATAAATTAACATAATTAGTGGCTTTTGTTGTGTGGCAGAACAGTGTGAAACACACACACACACACACACACACACACACACACACACACACACCCTGTACTCATGGAAGTTTGGCCAAGCACAGAATTAGGAAGAAGTGGGGATTTAAAGGACAGCAGGTGACACTTTCTGGGCAAGAGATAATATGGGTCTGTCTGAAGGCAGTTCAGAAGGAGCCAACAGGAAGACAGCATATTTTACAAAGAGCTAGTAGAACAATTTGCAGTCAAGAATGAAAGAGTCTAGTGATGGGGGAATGTCCTTGGGTATGCTGTAAATATATGTTTTTCTTATTGTTTGATGAATAAAGCTGTTTTGGCCAATGGATAGGCAGGATTTTGCCAGGTGGGAAATCCAAACAGGGATAGAGAAAGGTAGTAGGCAGAGTCAGGGAGACACCATGTAGCTGCTGAAGAAGCAGGAGACCCAGGCATCATAGTAAGCCAAGACTACATGGGGATATACAGATTAATAGAAATGGGCTAATAATAAGAGAGAGCTAGCTGATAAGAAGCCTAAGCCATGGGCCAAACAACTTATAATTAATATAAGCCTCTGTGTTTATTTGGGACTGAATGGCTACAGGACTAGGAGAGACAGAATTTTCTGTCTACAGTGTAGGGCTTAGATACCAGAAGTATTGGAAAAGAGGGACAGGTTGCAGACAAAGAGCCTGTCTGTTAGGCACAAAGGCTCAAGCCCTTATCAATGTTAGTTCCCCTCTTGGTAGCAGCCCACCTTGGTTGCTGAGGCAGACATGCTATCACCTGTTGCCATGCGCTTGCTTCTCTCATACCACCACTCTTCCACTCTCTACCTCTCACTCTCCAGTAACCCTCGTGCACTAACTCTATTGTGTACTGCATGTTTGCTTGGTGGCATACCTTGGCAAGGCCCCCAAAAGTACCCACTTTGTCTTTTTTTATCCTTTCAACAAACACTTGTCAAGGCTCAATGTCAGCCTTGCTGATAGGAGACACGTTCTAGAAAAAGACAGATCCCTTCAGATGTTAAAGAAAGGTGAGGAATGTGTGTCTTTTAACACGTTTTTTTTCTTGGTATTGTAGGACAGGAACTTAACACTGCAGCCCAATTCTGGGCTGGAATTCATTAGGTAGCATGGGGGTGGGGGTCAGGGAGCTGGGCCTAAACCTGCTGGGCTCCTCCTTTCCTAGCTTCCAATATGCTGAGCCACCAGACCCAATTTTCACCTTATTTTTTATCAATTCACCAGCAAGGTCCCAGACAAAGGAATATGGATGATAGAGGGAGGGGAAATGCAGGGCAAGGCTTGACTGTTTCATTGTTTACAGTATATTTTAGACAAGCTGTCCTCAGCCTCTGTAGAGCCACCTCATATTGGCAGAAAGTAGGCTGATGACTTGTGACATACCCCAGTCTACCAGGCAGTCCTACCCCATTCTGTTTAAATCTCCTTCTTCCCCCCAGGTAGGGTTCTTCTGCATATTCTGGCTGTCCTGGAACTCCCTCTATAGATCAGGCTGGCCTCAAACTAGGAGATCTGCCAGCCTCTGTCTTCCAAATGCTGAAAATAAAGGTGCGAGCCATTGCTGCCTGGGTAGTGTTGCTTAGTCCTAAGAGTAGCTACAGAATTTTGCCTGGTCAAGGTAAGTTCCAGTCATAACTGTATTTGCTAAAAGCTGTTTCTAATGAGTATTACAGGTAGCCTGCATAAGGTCAGCCTTTGGGGCTGAAGAGATGGCACAATACTCCCAGGTCCCTAGCACCCACATAAAAAGCTGGGTGTGGTAGTGCATGTTGTAAGCCCAGTGCTGGGTATGGGTAAAGATCCAGGGGATTCCCTAGGGTTTAGTAGCTAGCAAGCCTAGACAAGATGGTGCTTCCAGGTTTGGTGAGATCTTATACAAAATGTCTAACGAAATAAGTAGAGGAGCACTGAGGATGATACTGTGATGACACTCTATCCTCCCCAAGTGCCTGCACAGGTGAGCAGGTACATTCATGCACTGATACATACCACAAATACAGCCTTTCTCCCATGTTTAATATGACAGACACAGACTTGGTTAGCTGAAGTAAGCAGGTGTGTGTGTATAATGTTGATTGCTCCTAATAAACTAATGGGAATTTAAGTCATAATCTAGATTTTTAAATCTAGCAAACTACTTGTGTCTGGAGAGATCAAAGATTCAAGAGGAGAACCTATTATTGTCCGTTTCCCAAATTTCAAATGCTTTTCTAAAAATTTTTCCTTATACCACAAGTGTAGCTTTAATCATTCATCAAACTAGCTTCTTTTTGCAACAGACAAGACTATGACAGAGACTGAGTGACTAAGGTGTACCCAGCCTTCAATGACACAGCTTCAAGGCAGCTCCTATACCTCAGGCTCAGGAACACTGGAGGAAAAGAGGGGTGCAGAGATTCTAAGAGTCTGAGGCCTGGGATACCTGATGTTAGATAGTGTCCTCTAGACATGACAAAAAATGAACCCAAGAACACTCAATATGGGTATCTGAACAACAGCACTAGCTGACAAGCTACTGCTGACAGGAAATTCTGCACAGTTCAACACATAGATGAAGAGCAATAGGTGGACAATGGCTGCTAATAGACAGAGATTACATTTCCAAAAGGGATGAGCTCCTACATAGGTTGTCCAATCCCAGAGGTCAGCCTTGGACTTATGTATACATAAGCAAAGCTAAATGGACATAATAAGATACACACACACACACACACACACACACACACAGTGGGCCTGCACATTGTGGTGCCTCTTCCTTAACATGTTCTGAATAATGGGGAGTGTGGCTCCTCTAGCCTTTAGAACTGTAAGCATCTGTAGTATGAGTTTCCTAATTAGTAAAAATAAAGGAACTAAACCTCATGAATTTACTGTGATTATGGTAAAAGAACAACTAATTATAAAGACTAAGAACAGTTGGACAGCTTATAGTTATAATTAAATAAAACTCAAGTCAGACTGACATTATTTTATAGTATTATCTTTGGACATAAAAATAAGTTTCTCTGGCC